CACTCTTTAAGCAAGAATTAAATGTTTAACCACCAATTCCGTAAGACAGTTGGGCGGGGGGAAAAGATATTTAGGCGACCCTGCAAGACCGTTTTGTCCAATTAACGCATCAGAGGCCAACCATCCTCGATAAAGGGGCACCGTGAATTGTCATAGGTATTCAGTAGCCTGTGTCTCTGATGAATCCGAAATGTCAGGCGAATAAAGTCCCTGTTCCAGCGATCGCATCAACTTGATCTCAATGTAATTCATGTTAAGGCAATATTCAATTTTGATAGGTAAATTCGGTAAAAGTTACTTATTGGCAGATTGACTTCAGACGAAGCTATACTCGCGAACAGCTTGTCGATATGAAACAACGATGTATTCACGCCATCGACTGAATCCACCCAAACCCCCCATCCATCAAGATAGAAGAACTAACCCAGTTACAACACACCTTCAAGGAGGAATCCACACCGCAGGAAACTGTCTCTTCCAAATAATCTTCCGTATCAACTGTCTTCGCGCACAATACACTGTCTGCATCGACCCTGGAAATGAAAAATTTCCAGGTTGCCACAAATGATTGCACAATACGGCTTGCTGTGCTCAAAAACATTTCATGATCGAAGAGGCTACTTAACTGCCGAACAGAAGAGCTGATGACCTGGGATCTGGCGTGCAGAGATTGAAGTCGTGTCTTGGCGTCGCTGAAACCTTTACATGGATGGTCGGTGTTTGCACCGTTCACGAAGCAGCATTCTGCCCTTTTCTGCTGCCCCCTGACTATTTATGAACGAGTTTCTGGCACTCTATTGTGCTTCAAATGACGCAGAAGCTTTTTTCTAACTTAATATGGGCGACGGGTGTTTCACCCACTGTGTGCGCTGTGGAAAAAAAACAGTAAACCGCTCCGACCGTCTGGGCTCTTCAGCACACAGCCGGAATTGCAGCCAACAAAGTATTACGGCCGAAAGGTCAAACATACCCTCAAAGACGTCCACGCCTCCTCATAGCAAAGTTAGCTCGCATAACGAGTGGCATCAGGCTTGAGCTCCGTCGACGCACAGAGTACTAAGTTCTCTTTCACGCCTCCCGAAGGCCAACATCCCCCCTCCCTTACACACACTTTCATCCTACAGACCATCAGTCTGCCACTTCTACTCATTTTACCCGAATGGGATCACGCCAATGAGATGAAAAGAGATGAAAGAACGCGATTAAATTGAAGTCAGTCAGGAGCGAACAACTAGACAAGCCGGACTCCAAACCCTGCCTACGCGAAGACTTTCATGTTGAAGATGATTGGGATCACAAGTCAGGTTTTATTTTGAAATCAGGACGCTTAATGATAGTGCCATGATGGTTTGAGGGACAGTTAACAGCGACCCAATATGGCTTACAGGCCGAGCGGGGGAACCCGCAG